TGTGGGCTTTTATAAGGCCTTTCGGCCGAAAAAAGGCTTGAATAAGGCCCGATCCATAGAATTGCCTTTTCTTGTTTCATGATAAGGACTCCGTAGCCTTTCTCGACAGAGACACTGAAGGCCCACATTACGGGCCCACAAAACCTAATCAGGCTTTGATCCATAATCAAACCACTTGCTTAATATGTAACCAGATCAACGGTTGTGATCGAAGGACATGATAGGAACTAATAAATACATGCCCGCATTGTAACATTTTTCCAGTAACAAAAATTTGTCTCACTCGCCCACGACTTTTCTACAAGCAGAGAGTACAGAAACCGCAACCAAAAGCACTGAGCGTGTTAGACACGAACGATTTAGCTCGTGGGTTATCAATCCCTCAACCAAATCTCTGATAATAATATTTGTTTACAAATAAAATAAAATACAGTACACTTGTACGAAGTACATTTAACTTATAAAATATTTTACTTGGAAAAGGTGAGTGGAGAGATAAAGAGCAGAGAGCGGGTAAAAGAATGTTTTGATTAATTAAATTATAATATTTTTAACGTAAAATCTTTAAGTTGGTCATGAACTATTCGTATAGGTTTTTAATTTGATTCTTAAATTAAAAAAATTTTTATTTTGATTTTGAACTATTGTATGAATCTTTAATTTGATCTTTATTATTTATCAATTTATACTAAATTGGTCTTTTCACATAAAAAAATAGTTGACGTATCTCATTATTAACGTAACACGTAGCTGTTAAGTTTCTATTTTTTACTGTTACGTAACAAACACGTCAACTATTTTTTACCATTAAGTAACAAACACGTCAACTGTTTTTTATCATTAAGTAACAAACACGTTAACTATTTTTTGTATAGAAGGATCAACTTTGGGTTAAATTAGTAAACAGTATGGACTAAATCAAGGGTCCGTACAATAGTTCGAGGATCATATTAGAGATTTTTTTAGTTCAAGGATCAAATCGGAGGTCCATATAATAGTTTAGGGATAAATTAAGGTTTTAACTTATTTTTAAATATTATAATTTAATTAGTAGAAAAATCATACCTACTTTTTTTTTTTTTTATTTGATAAAGATAATGGTTAGTAGGTTAGTATTGTTAGATGTTAGCAACTAAAAATTCGATCCCTAAATCTTGTGAACAACCCACCGACCTCAATGAGGTGCGCGGCCATCGAACCGTTTGGGTGGAGTTCATCCCTACTCTTTATTATTTCTATTAAGAAGGTAAATCTTTAATATTTGAGCTCATCCTTTCATCTATGGTTAGGCATATATTTAGTTACAAAATTAGTAAAATAACGGAAAGGGGGAGGAGGGGAGGAGAGGAGAATAGAAGTTAAAGAATAAATCAAAAATAGAATAAAATTTTTAGAATTTATTAATTAAAAAATAATTAAAATAAAATAGTTTTATATATTTATTTTTTAAAAATAAAAAAAATAAAAGGTATAAATCAAATCACAAACAATTTCTTTATTTAACCGTTGTTGGGTTAGTTCATTTGAAGGAGGGGAAAAGAGTGCAAGGTAGAAGTCTCTCTTGCTCTGTTTAGTTTTCTTTATTAATAAAAAGGAAGAGAGATGGAGGAATGATAAAATCCCTTCAACTTTTCTATTTTCTATCTCTCTAAGATTGAGAAATTGTGAAAGATTTGATTTTAATATTTAATGTTTTAAAAAAATTTTAAAAATAAATATATAAAAATATTTTATTTCAATTATTATTTTAATTAGTAAATTTTAAATATTTTATTTTATTTTTTAAAATTATTTACTTAAATAAAAATATTTTTCTTTCCTCTTCTTTACTTTCATCTATTTCAAATAAGGTTAATATTGACTATTTTCCTTTCTCACTTGTACTCCCTTCCCTTCCCCTCTCTTATTTTTTTTGTACTAATTTTTATCCAAATAAATCAATTTTTTTTAATATTGGTTACACAACTGAAAATAACATTTTCTCATCTTTTATTCCACTTCACCTACATATCATCCAATTCAAATTTAAAATTTTTTACTTTCAACAAAAAAAAAATTATCACTAAACTATTAAGTCGTTGGCCCAAATAAATCATTAAAAAGATAAAAAAAAAATAAAGAAATAAAGTGAATTTCATCACCCTCCATCTCCCTTCCCTTCCATTAATAAAAAAAAATCTAAATGAGAGAGGGACAAATCTTCCCTCAACATCATCCGCACCCCCTCCAAATGCACCAATCCAAACAAATTGTAATTGTTTTGCAGTCTACTAGGACGGACTGCAAAACATGTTCTTTTTTAATATAATTTTTAATTTTCTCTTTCTTCCCTTCTCTTTATAGTGTTCTGTCATCTCTGTGTTTTCATCTGCTCCGTTTTCACCTGCCATGAAAAATGAAAAATGTGCTCTTTTAGATTTTTAATATTATTTGTTCTGAATGTAATTACTAATGAGTGAGAAAGAAAATAGGTTATCAGGGATGGAACCAAAATCAATGTTCTCCGGTTTGCTCTCATTCTTTAATTTCTTCTTCTTCTTCTTCTCTTTTTTGGGTTTTTTTGTGTGGTTATATTGTTCTCATTCTTTATCCTGTTCCTTTTTCTTTTTTTTTTGGTTTTTTGTGATTATATTTGGACAATGTATCTAATATTAATCCATTTCCCATCTCGGTTTTGCATTTTCTTACTAAAGATTACAACTTTTTTTTTCCTATTCTTCCATCCTGGATTTTTCACTGTGTCATTAATCTGTTGCTTTGTTTCAAGTACGATTTATGGTGGGACTGAGGTGTTATCTGCTTTTTATTTCATAGTTATGTCAGTGTTTTAAACTCTAATTGATGTTCATTGTGCGTGTGGTTGATGGAAATTTTACTTTAATTATAATACTGCTTTATTTTCATGTTTTTATGCTTAGGGTGCTAGTGATTTCTATCATTTTTGTTTAAAATCTTGTTATGGGAGTAAGAAACTAAGGTACCTCATGACCTTAATAATGTCAGCCCGTGCCATTGGTGTTTTGATTGTTTAAACCATTTTTGCAGGTATATGGTTAAGGTTTGATTAGTGCAATATTTAAAGAAGTATCTTTGATGGGTTATATGTTGCTTATAGAGATAGTCCTTTAACAAATGCTCACATCTAATGGGTATGGTGCTTCAAAATTTATGGTTGTATATGCAAGGCAATATCTAATGTAGAAACACGTATTTCTTGTTGATTAAGTTCTAGTTTTATGAGGAGAATGCTCAAATACAAGTATTCATTAGTATCAGAAGCAGTTGAGGTCTTATCCATTTTCTTGCTGCTAAGTCAATTGATTCTTAGTCATTTTAGTTCCCATATCTTTTGTTTTCATTTTGCATTATGTCTTATCAAGTAGCTTGATTGGAAGTTGTAGAAGTAAAGTGGAATATTTCCTTCATAGAAGTGTTCTGTTATCTGTTATACTGAAGCTTACTTTATATAAATATGTTATAGGGAGGTTATGGTTGAAGTTTGAAACTTAAATACTCTTTCCAGGTTTTGTTCTTGACCCCTCAAAATGTAATCAACTAAGCTTGGAAGAGAAAAGAGAACTGGTCCATGAGATAGCTCAATTTTCAGATAATGCTTCCGAGATACTTAGTTCATTTACTCGCAGGGAGCTTCTTCAAATCATATGTGCAGAGATGGGAAAAGAGAGAAAATACTCAGGTTATAGCAAACATAGAATGATAAAGCACCTCCTGAAGTTAATTTCTCAAAAGCCTAGGGGAAGCGACAGTGATGATTTTTGTCCCATGGAACAAGTGAGACCTGAACTGGGATTTAAAAGGAAAAGGCAGAATCCAACTCCACATCAACTGTCAAATGACTTAAACCAAGTTCCTCCTTGGAATGCTAAAGAAAAATGCAGTAAAACCAAATTTTGCCAGAATGCTGCATGCAAAACTTCTTTAGCTCCAGATGATGCATTTTGCAAGAGATGTTCTTGCTGTATCTGCCACCAGTTTGACGACAACAAGGATCCTAGTCTGTGGCTAACATGTGAATCTGATTCTCTTGATGAGAATGAGTCATGTGGAATGTCGTGTCATCTTGAATGTGCTTTGACAGATGAAAGAGTTGGCATCATCAAGAGCAATTGTTGTGTGAAGTTGGATGGAAGTTTCTATTGTGTAGCTTGTGGGAAGATCAATGGACTAATGAGGTAAAACGGTTTCTTTTCTACACGTATGGAATGATACCGATTGTACTTGTGTTTATACACTTGCATTTTTATTTCATGAAGTGTTGGATATCTACAAACATTCTAATAATTATGTTTCTTTAATGGCAATCTCTTAAGTCTCCCTACCTGGCAGAAGTATAAAGCAAAAGGAGGTTGAAAACAGCTAACTGAATGTGTATAATTTTTAATTACAGAACCTGGAGAAAGCAGTTGTTGGTGGCCAAGGAGACCAGGAGAGTGGATGTGCTCTGTCTACGGATCTCTCTGGGTCATAGAATTCTGATAGAATCTGAGAAATACATGGAACTACGGAAGACAGTGGAAACTGCCATGCAAATACTAACGAACGAAGTAGGGCCTCTGAATTTATTGTGCACAAAGCTGGCACGAGGTATTGTGAACAGGCTATCCTGTGGTTCTGAGGTTCAAAATTTATGTGCTTCTGTGATTGAAGCATTTGATTCCTTGGTGTCTGATGAGCCTTGCAATGATCATATGAAAGAGAAAGAGCCAGCATGTGAGTTCCTTCAAGTTTTCATATTTCACATAATGATTGTGCAGACATAGAAAAAGTTTACAAGAAAGAGTTATCTTATTTCAATTAAACAAGTTGCAGAATTCCCATCCCTTTCCCTATATATTATGATGTTCATTATTGTTTTTCTTTGCAGCTTGCCAGATCCGATTTGAAGAACTATCCCCAGCCTCAGCTATAATTGTGCTAGACTACGCCCAAAATCTCATAGAAGGCTTCTTAGGGTGCAGAATTTGGCACCGTAAATCTACTGAGAACGTCTATCCAGATAACCCAACTTTCATGGTATTGAGGCCACAGAAAAGATTTAAGATAACAGATCTCAACCCTTCCACTGAATATTTTTGCAAAGTTTCTCTGTTTAGCAGAAAAGGGACATTGGGTGCATGGGAAGCAAAATGGGTATCACCTGCTTCAAGTGGAAATTGTATGGCAACTCTAAAACGTGAAAAGGAAGAACCTCTTACAGCAACTCAAATTTATTCTCAAGTGAACTCAACTAACTCAAGCAACAGTGAGCCAGCCTCTGTAGAGCTCAATGCAAAGTTTCCATCACTGGATGAAGCAAGCAAGTGCAAGGATGAGAGGTTCTACTCACCTCCTTACGTGGAAAAAAATTCTCCTTTGTGTCCCCCATCACTTGACCCTTCTACACCTTGTAAGTCGCAGAAAGCAAGGGAAATACCTGGCTCTAACTGTAAAAAGAGGCTGGAGGAGAGCGACTTTGAATATTCCATAAGAATTGTAAAATGGTTAGAGCATGAAGGGCACATAGACAAGGATTTTAGAGTTAAGTTCCTCACTTGGTTCAGCCTCAAAGCAACGAAGCAAGAGAGAAGGGTGGTTAGTGTTTTTGTGAATGCTTTGATTGATGATCCAGCATGCTTGGCTGAACAACTAATTCATACGTTTATGGATAAGATCTGTGTCCAGCAAAGACCAGTTTCGGGGCATAGGTTCTGTGCTAGATTATGGCATTAAGTAGAATGGGAAATGTTTTATTGTCAGAAGTGAGAAGGTTTTAGAGGCACTAGTGAAGGCACTAAAATTTTGGTGCGGAACTGGTGAGCACAGCTTTCTAGTTGATGAAAAGCGATACGAGCTTTATTATTGATGTCTCTTAACTTGTTTTTTTTTTCAGTATGTCCTTGACTGTTCAACATGCAGCATTCATGCCTACTCGAGGACAATACTAGCTTTGGTATGAAAATTTAAACATGTTTGAGGGTAAAACTTGATGCAGGATGAGTCTGCAAAAGCTTTCAGATTATATGGAAAAAAAATAAAAAGGAAACAAGAAATAAAACAAAGAGTGCGTCAAATTCCTATTTTGAATAACAAGAATATTTAAAAAAAAAAACCTCTTGTTGGCAAGATGAATACAGTTGAAGTTGAATTCCGTGATCCGTTAATCAGATTCAGGGTTCACTTTAAAAATCATGCATTTTCTTCTTAGGTAGGAACAATGCAGCAATGCAACAAGTAGCCGACAGCGAAAGGAACTCATCTCTGATTGCAAGAAAGTTGAGAAATTATAACATTGATAGTTTTGGATTTGTGCAGTCACGAGCCACCTGAAGATTTACATTTAACGATTATTACATGTTGCTGTAAATAACATTCTATAAAAACTACATTTCTGAAGGTGTAGTATGACAACTCATCCACACCTGCAGTTGACCATGTTCCCAGATGGCAAATTCTCCGGACTAGCATTTTGTTACCTTACACTTGGTATAGACATCCACAACAAGATCTTCCATCGCAAAGAAATGCAGAGTATGGTACTCCATCGAATTCTGATTATCCTCATTCGCTCAGTGAATCCTCTACAGCTTTATTGAATGAGGCAGCAAGATATTCAGCCAGACTTGGTCCAGAACTGGACTTGTTGAATGCCTCTGAGACTCCCTCCTTTTTCATGCTAATAGATTTTGGAAGCCAGGAATTTGAAGAGACTGGGTTAGGCATATTAGAATCTTGCTTCTTCCATGGAATAGGTTTCAAATGTTGCCAAGGATCTTCCAACATGGATTCATCATAAAAACGCTCTGGCCTTGGAGTTCTGTCAGATGCAAAGTTACGGTGATGAGAACCCGGACCTTGTCTGCCACCCCTCCCTGTACCAGGGCTACTGCCATAGCCACTGCCCCTGCCTCTTCCTGGACTAAAACCAGGACTGCCCCGATAAACTGAACCAGAGATTGAATTGTTGCCAAATCGAGACCTACCTTGTCCATGACTGAAATCAGGTGTAGCCAGTAGTCCAGAGCAGGGGCTAGGTGAATTACTATTTCTGTGTGGATTGGACGGAGAATTATAGCCTCCTGCATCTCCCGCTCCATACCAAGGTCTAGGAGCTCCTTCATATACGGAGGAAGGGCTGATATATCCCTGCGTGCTTCCACCGTGAGCATGGTTGTAATAGTTGGTTTTGGCTCTGGGCCCATTCCAAGCATCAGGAGTTCCTTGATGCATGGGTAGAGGACTTGTACTGCTGTATGGGTTTTGTGCTTGGTACATCCTATGATCATGTGAATAGTTGTTCTGCATCTGATAGACAGGAGAGGGAATCACCTCAAAATGCCCCGGGACTGCTAAGCCAGAATAAAACCATATGAAAACAGTTACCATCGACATCAAATCATGAATATCTACAAATGAAGTTTGTGCGTCCCTTTTATTTAAACAAAGTTGAAAACATGATTCGTTCTATATTCACCAATGAATTTATAAAAAGATGATCAATAAATATAAACATAGGAAACAACCCCTCTTGATGATTGAATGTATTTTTACCATGATTCGTTCTATTGCTCCAACATGCAAACTATATTGATTAAAACAACATTTACATACCAAAAAAGCTTCATTACCTGGAGGTGTAAAATGATCTTGTCTACCCTGGCCATCAACCTTGCCCCTTTTCCTGTTAGCAGAAAAGGCTGCCATAGGGTCTGTGTAATAATCAAACCGTGAAGTTGCTCGAAACTCCTCTTGCACTGAAGAGGTTTCAATCAATGGATTAGAGAGGTGACCAGAAGTCTCAGAATCATTAGGAACAACATCAGCCAACGCAGCTTCTGACCGCATTGCTTTCAACCTTTCCTTTCTTTTCACAGATTCCTCCATTAAATCTTCCAATAATCTCTACAAGAATTTCATTAATCTTAAATTTATTCAATACCTACAAAACTGAATTCTGATTCCACCCTAGAAAAATCATAACTTTCTAAATTCTGATTCCACCCTAGAAAAATCATAACTTTCTAACTCAGAAACCTATTCAGAGATAGGAAAATGAGGAAATTATAAGGAAAACTCACCAGCTTATCTTTACGTCGCCGACGATTTCAAGTTCCGATCGGAGAACTGTATTCTAAGAGTATGGAATTGAGGACGGAGGTGAACTCAGATGCAGAAAGAAACCGACCTAATTTTTCCGGATAAAAGAACAAGGACGAAGAATATACGCTGAGTTTTGGGCTACCATCAAAGCCCGAAATTAATGGGTCCAAACTTTTTTTTTTTGTAATGTTGGAGTTTGGGCTCATTATTTTTTTTTGAACATATGCTTGGGCTCATTATTTAGGCCTGGTATGAACCCAAATTAATATCTGCCGTCTGATTTTGCATTACGCTAATCCGATCCCTAGCGCGCTGCAGGGATTCTGCAACATAACTTGCCGAACTGTTTGTTTGATCAATCGGTGAGTTGATCGGAGAGTGCTTTAGAGCAGCTGAGCTTGAAGCTATGCCCACCAACGAGGGTTTCTCGGGTACGTTTGGTTCCTGTTTGGAGAGATTCAGTGAGATTTGTGCTAATCACATTGTTTTCTATTAGCTCTTTTTGTTCTTATTGTCATTTTGAAGTTTGGACGTTTTGGTGGTTGATTGTTTGTGGGAAATTGTCTGTTTCTTGAATCCCCATTTTGTTTTGGATATAGAATTTACAGATTGTGGCTAAAGTTAGTACCTTTGAGTAGAAAGTAATGGTAATTGTGGTTTGTGTTAATGAGAGAATGAGATGATGAATATTGACTCAAAGAAACGGTAATCTGTTGGAAAAAAGAAAACCCATTTTTCTGCTATTTGTGTCATCCTGATTTTCTTAAGTTTCTCCAACATGATGAGGGTAGACATATTATCTTGGCGGTTACAGGCTCTGGTTTGTCAGCTAAAATTTTATGTAGAAAGTAATGTGAAGTTTCATGGTAGGTCATTTTGGTAGAAAATTTTATGTATTGTGCTAAAGTTTGAGAAAATGAGATGGGTTTGCTATCATCTTGTGTACCCTTATCTCTGTTTGTGATTTTAATTTTAACATAGATTGGAAATGGACAATTGCCTGTGATATTACAGAATTGTTTTTTCTTTCATGCTTCTCTTTTTCTGAGTGATGGTAAAACTTTTCCATATTTCATCTTTCATGTATCTTTCATTACGTACCAGGTGTTTCAAATTGCTATGTATTCAAGAGCCGGTTACAAGAATATGCGCAAAAAGTTGGATATCCAACACCTGTATATGAGACTACCAAAGAAGGCCCTTCTCATGAACCTTACTTCAGATCAATAGTGATCATAAATGATGTTAGATATGAATCCTTACCAGGATTTTTCAATCGTAAGGCAGCAGAACAGTCAGCTGCTGAGGTTGCTCTCTTGGAGTTAGCCAAGACCGGTGAAGTTAATGAGTCGATTGCTGTACCTATAGTAAGTTTTTTTTATCTTATCAGGTGCCACATATATCTCTCCCTCATTTCAAGTTTCAGACTTCCGTCTAGCTCTGTAAAGGATAATTTTGGGGGTTTGTTAAATAGCCTATATGCATTTTGGCAGGCTTTTCTTTTCTTTTCTTTTCTTTTCTTTTCTTTTTTAAGATACAGGGAGGAAGTATTTGAGGGTTGGATGGCTAGCTATACATGCCTTATTCATCAATGCAGTGGATCAATTAATAAGAGTGCTTTACTTCTTTTCTTTTTTCTTTTTTTCTTATCTCATTAGATTTTTATCTAATGGAATGTCTGAGTTTCTTATAAAGTTGCTGAATCATCCTTTTGTAACTAGTAAATGAAGCCAAGCCTTTATTCTTGTATCGTTAATGCATGATTAGTACAGTATGTCTATATGTGTGATTAATACAAAATATGTCATTTATCTCTTAGTCATATTGCTGCTGATATCATTGGACGATATTTCTTCCAGCATGAAACAGGTTTATGCAAAAATTTACTCCAGGAGTATGCTCAAAAGATGAACTTTGCAATTCCAATATATCAGTGCCAAAAGGTTGAAGTACCAGGCCGTGTGCAGCAGTTCTCATGTACGGTTGAGATTGGAGGCATTAGGTATATTGGAGCTGCAGCAAAAACCAAAAAAGAAGCAGAGCTCAAAGCTGCCAGAACCGCTTTATTGGCTATTAAGTCAAGTACCCCTGAATCATCTGATAAATCAGTCGCCAATCCTCAGTTGACTGTAATTCCTATCAGAAAGAGGACAGCTGAGACTGCTAATAATCCTGAGGAGACCACAAATGTTCCAAAGCCAAAGAAAGCTCGATTCAAGAAGAAAATGTTTAAAAAGAAACGCTCTGGAGACAACATAGACCGTTCCCAGGACAAAGATTCAGGCAACCCAGATGTTCAGGCAGAATCAGTATTGAATCCAGCTGATTCATCTGGAGTTGAAGCAGTGGATTTTGTGCCTATGGCTTCTGTAGAAGAACTCGAGAGAGAACCGCCTTCTGCAAAAGGTGCATCTTCCCCCCAAGCTCCTTGTAACTCTAGCAACGAGCATTTAACAAATGCAAATGCTAATGAAAGCAACCATGAGGCTTCTAATGTGGGAAAATCATTTGTGGTTGACAGAGATTTAACTAGTTTGGTTAAAGTGACTGGAATCAGCGAGATGCCTTCAATTGTTAACGATTTTGGTCAGATAGAGACTTCAAGCTAGTGTAGGCCAATCCTAAGCCTTAGGAGAAGTAGATTGTGCCTTATATCACTGGTTTTTGGTTTTGTAGTTAGGAAAATGGAGTTGGAGTGAGCCAATGAAGTCTCTGAATATTCTTCATAGGCATTTTGAAAATCTTATATTATAAATATCTGTTTCAGTTCAATGGTTTCTATCGGATGTGGTTATGGCCTCACAGCCAATTGTTATGATCACATGTTTTACCTTTTTTTTATTAGTTTATAACTTTCTTTTGTTAGACAATATTCTATGATGTTTGAAAATATTTATTTATAAATTAATTTTAATATATTAAATAATAAATATAAATTATTTTATTAATTATTAATTATTCTTAATAGTTAAATTAAATAAATTATATAGTTATAACATGTGACTGTGTGACCTTAACCACTGTTGTTTCTATCCGGGTCTTTTATTTGCAGATTCAGCTTGAATGATTTTTGCTGATGTTTTTTCGAAGGTATGAGGGGTGGATCCTTAATTGAGCAGCCTTGACAGGAATCAAATCAGCAATGAAACAGCATTTTTACTGATTTTTGTTTGGATTAACAATTCAAATGCAACGGCTAGCTAGTTTAAACCATTAACCTCAAGTCTTTGCACTAGACACCCTCAATCAGATATTCTTTAAAAAAATGTAACTATATCAACAGTTTAAGATCATCATATGAGGGAGGGTTTGCGCTTATATTATGGGCCATTTCAATTTGATGATTAGTTTTGCATTGTTTGAAGACTCCCAAGTCCCAACAACACATAACATTTTTGTTATAGAAAAAAAAAAAAAAACATTTTAAGATTTTAAATGTTAAAATTTTTTGTAATATTGATCAAATGCCTTTTAATAAATTTTTTTATTTGTTGATTCATTAACAATGTTATCTTTTTATTATTATTCTTAACATTTTCTCATGTTGTGATTCATTAGTGGTTACTGCAACCCAAAAGGGTTATCGGTGGAATGTATCCGACCAATGATCGAAGCTTGTCAAAAAATAAGATACTAACTTCTAACTCCTAACTCCTAACCATTGCCCTTGTCAAAAAAAAAAAAAAAAAATCCTTTTGTTATATTAGTAATTTCATAATTTAGTGAAATGATATCCTCTAGGGGACATACATAGCTAGTTCAAGACATACACAATTGACAAAAAGATAATATTAAGGGTTTAATTGACAGAAACACACATTTTTTAGGACTGATAGAGCCATTTTCTAATTCGTGACTCGTTAAATTTCTCTTCTTAAAAATCAAGGCTCATCCTTCTTCACAAAGAAACTGCAGATTCGCAGACTTACCGAAAATGCACGGCCGCCCTCGCAAAGCCCCGAAACCGGAAGAAGCGGAAGCTTCTGCGGCCAAAGCCGAAAAGCTCCGGTCCCTCCAATCTCAATTCCTCTCCAATCACCATGGCAAGATGTATGCTTTTCTTGCTCTCTGAATTCTGATCTTTGCTTTCCATTTCACTTACAAAGTGAAATCTTTGATTTTGTTTGATCTATGTTCTGAATTTGGTAATTGAAAATCTGTTCAGTTACACTAAGGAAGCAGTAGAGCTAAGCGCCAAGCTTCTGGAAATCAATCCAGAAGCATACACGGGTTGGAACTATAGGAAGCTGGCGGTCGAGCACAATCTGAGTCAAGCACAGTCTGATCCCGACGCGATCAAGTCCATTCTGGATGAAGAGCTCAGAGTGGTGAGTTTCTATTATCTAAAATTTTTAGATTTTTAGTGAAGTTATCAAAAAGTTTTGCACTTTAGATTTATTTTTTTTGTATATGTGAAAGAAGGTTTAATTTGGAGTTTATTGAATAATTTTGGGTAGGTAGAGAGTGCATTGAGGCAGAATTTTAAGTCTTATGGAGCTTGGCATCACCGCAAATGGGTTCTGAGCAAGGGACATTCATCAATAGAGAATGAGCTGAGGCTGCTGGGTAAATTTCAGAAGGCTGATTCGCGTAATTTTCATGCTTGGAATTATCGGAGGTAAAGATCCTTGATTTGATAATGAAGATGATGGATTCTTGTATTATTTATCTACAACATCATTTCTGCCTTTTTCTTCCCAGATTTGTGGCAACTTTGATGAACAGATCAGAACAGGATGAACTGAAGTATACTGAGGATATGATCTATACAAATTTCAGCAATTATTCTGCATGGCATAATCGCAGGTATTGTTTGTAATTTCTAAAGTCTATGCATGTTAATGGAAGCTGAATCCCATCACCATAATGCATCTTGTTGGGGAATATCTGCAGTGTATTGTTGTCCAATTTGCTTGAGAAAAAGGTTGAAGGATTCCTCTCAAAAGAAGCTGTCTTGCCAGAGGAATTTGAATTTATACATCAAGCTATATTTACAGATCCAGATGATCAGAGTGGTTGGTTTTATCACCTTTGGCTTCTAGATCAGACAATCAATGCTGGGTCTCCCCAACTTGTTTCCTCCTGGCCTGCTCATTCCTCTGATCTGGTTCTAGTCAGTGATGGGTGCCTAAAG